CACTGTGGAGGCTTCTCATTTCTTGCCACATCCCCGGACTCTGTGACTGCCAGTCCAACTGTCCCGGATTTTTCCAAGAGTTTCTGACTAACAGATCATTCAATATAAGAGTTTGTTTGTGTTACCCAAGGAAGTTTTCCAGGAAGGAAAGGTTCTCATAGGGAGCATTTGTGACGACTACATGTTTATTTACAGCTATTGATGATGTTTTCGGTACTATTCCTGACTGAATCAGTGTCTTCTTGTATGTTGATACTTTAAGTAAAATTGTAAACTTATACTTCTCTAGGGTGGATCTGTCCTTAGGTTTAGTTGGGAGTGAGCACCATCACGTAGCGGGCTGCTTCCAGTGGCTATATGTTTTCCATTCTGAAGATGGTGACTGTTCGTTTACCTCGATCCCGAGTTAGGCAACCTACTCTGTGTGTGCTGCTGTGGTGTGTGCCTTCCTTATGAGCAGTATGTATTTTTTATTACCCAGTAGGACTACATTCACCGTGGAATGAAAGATGCTGAAGTGTTTAGCCGACCTAAATTTGTGGCACAGTAACATAAGAACACAAGACGGAATACTGTAGCAAGCCTACTGGCCCATGCGAGGTAGGTCCAAGTCGCGTACCGACTTACGTCACTGACTCGACGTAGTCAGGTCTAAGTCACATCCACTTAAGGAGCACGGCATCAGACTTGCTAGCACAAGCCAGTCAAGTCCAACTCAAACCCACCCACACCCACTCATGTGTTTATCTAACTTAATTTTTAAAACTGCACAACGTCTTAGCTTCTATGACGGTACTCGGGAGTTTGTTCCACTCATCCACAACTCTATTATCAAACCAGTGCTTTCCTATATCCTTCCTGAATCTGGATTTTTCCAACTTGAAACTATTGCTGCGAGTCCTGTCTTGGCTAGATATTTTTAGCATGATATTTACATCCCCTTTATTTATTCCTGTTTTCCATTTATACAACTCAATTACATCCCCTCCTAATTCTACGCCTTTCTAAAGAGTGCAGTTTCAAGACCCTCAGCCTATCCTCATAGGGAAGATTTCTGATACATGGGATCAACTTTGTCATCCTCCTCTGTACGTTTTCCAGTGCATTTATATCCATTTTGTAATACGGTGACCAGAACTGCGCAGCATAATCTAAATGAGGCCTAACCAAAAATATAGAGTTGAAGACTTCTATTATATATGATTCTTGATATGAAGCCAAGGATTCTGTTTGCTTTATTACGAACACTTATGCACTGTTGTCTTGGAATTCAGATTACTGCAAACCAGAACTCTAAATCCTTTTCACATTCAGTAATTTTAAGATCTACATTATTTAGTTTATATATGGCATAGTTATTTTCCTGTGTGTTCCAGGTAATATTAATGTCTTGGGAAATTATAAAGCAGATGCCACGGTGAAGGAGGCTATAATGAGCTCGTGCTGTACTAACTTTAAGCCAAGTTAGTCAGGTTTTCGAAGAATGTGGAATTTTCACTCTAAATTAATTTCTATCGATTAAGGTCGGGCACATATCTCACTCCCCATTCTCCTCCATCCTTACCCAAAGCTGGTGCACCTTAACACTGTGGTGAACGGCGGGGTTTGTGATTCATGCCAGAATCAATAGTAGGACCTTCTATAAGAAGGGTGTCACTTCCCACAGGGTGCTTGCCTGACAAAGAACCCAGAATTTCTTTCGTCATAAACAGTGGAGATATGATCCCTTTGTGTAATAAATTTGCTGATGATATAGAACGTTTTATGGATGTGAATTGCGGAATGCGATAAAAAAATAATTGAATTTTATGAGAGTAAATTGTCCCGACTGTAGCAATTTGGTAATGAAAGTGTAAATTATATAATTTTACCAACGGAATATGTTTCAAGTGCTGAATAACTGAAAGGTTCTAGTGTTTTGTAAATACAAAGAAAAACACCTTTATTCGCCGGTACATTTGCCGGCCGGGTCTTATCCAGATGGTGACCCGGCCTTGGCTACCAGTCACGGGTCACGGGAGTGTCTTAGAAGGGCGAAGAAAACGACTATTAAAGTGTCCTCTAAAGTCACACCCTAGCTTTAGGCAGCAGCCAGAGCGCTGGGGAAGCTCAACTTCATGATTATTGGTGGAAGGAAGCCTGCTAGTGGGCGGTAAAGTTCTTAATATTTCTAAATTTCGTTCTGGATACTTGGATAATTCTTGTCTTGGTGTAGTCGTCTTCTAGAAATTGTGATGTTCTCGAGCATTTCTTCGGCGCCGCTTAGATATTCAGGCTCGCCAATGAACTTGACTGTTCCCTCACGGAGTCGAGTGTGGAGTTCTTTGCAATACACAGCATCACTGTATTGGTTCGTTGTGTAGAACTTTAAGCCATTCCATTTGGCGTACTTATATGGTGGATGTGGACAGGTCTTTGCTCTGGCGAGTTGTCCCCTTGAAGTGCTGGTGCTTGGGGAGTAGCGGTAGCTGTTCCAGTCGTTGGTGGGCAGTCATTGGTGTTTGCAGCTGAAGCGTGAGACTAGGTTGAGGTCTCTGATTAGTCCGTTTGCTTGATGGAGGAAGTAAGTGGAAGCGTCTCATTGGTGGGACTGTGAGGCGGCTCGGCACATGTAGATGATGATGGTGGAGGAGCTGCAGGTGTTGAGATATTAACGATATTTGTTGTGGTCTTGATGTCTGAGGAAGGTGGAGAATCAGGGAATGTAAAGCTGGGCATGTTGTTTAGCCTGAAGAGTCCATTGATGGTGGTGTTGAAGGATTCAGGTATGGCCAGGTTGTGCATATGAGGATACATCATGAAATAGTAGATTTTGTAGTTTCATCGGCAGGTATTGGCGGTAATGTGCTGGTGGTGGAGGAGGAAGTTTGAGTGGCCTTAATTTGGTGGTATCTCCTTGCAGTTTTTTGATTGCAGCATATGCTGCAGATACTGCAGTTTTCTTTTGTTGTTCAAGGTTCTTCTTGAGACTTTCTCTTCTCATTAGGCATTTAGCAGCGAAAGAGTGGTGATCATTCTTACAATTCAGGCATCTTAGTGGAGTGGTGGTGGATCACGCCTTGAAATCACGTCCTTCACTGCCGCAGGTCGAGCAGAATTTTTTTTATCCTTGAGAGGACTGTCCTGGGCGGTAGGCAAGTAAGAGTAGCAGTTGTAGCATTGCATGATGTGGTGGAATCTCTCGGCCTCAACGTATTTTGGGTTGATGTGGAAGTAATTAATGGATTGCCATTCCCTCGGCAAGAGCTCGGGTAGCCATGTTGACGTCAGTGAAGGTGACCTTTAGCACTGAAGAAGCGTTGGGTATATTTATGTGTTCCACAGAGGCCCAAGGGTTCAGGTCTTCTAGTTATGTCTTGATATAATCATGAGGGAGCGCTACACCCGTAGGATTATACAGCACCTGGGGGAATGGCAGGTGTTCAGGTTCAGTTCAGGGAACCGGAGAACAGATCCAATTCCCTAGATCAAGAGCCCCTCACCAGCGTCAAGGAACCTCCCCTGAAGGGTCCATAATGTATAGACATCTCCAGAGAATACTATAAGGTCAACTTATTGATCCTCCTAACATCCATCCTGTTTCTGGTTTTGTAACAGCGTGTCAGAGAATATTCTGGTCCAGTTATTCTTTTATTAAATTAAGTAAAATTTTATTGCATTGGGATCACAAATGGCAGAACAAAAACTTAACAAAATATAATTTGAGATCTTTAATAGTAAAGTTGTCTAGGTGGATATTCAAAAAATTAATACATGGGGAATAATATAGGATATAAGCTCCTACACTTCTTTTGAGTGTACTTGGGTATACATTAATAACAATGTTAAATTGTGTATATAGTATTTAGTGCTGAGGCACGTTTTGTAACAGTACGACTCTTAAGTACTATCTGGTACGCAGCTATGACGAGTTATACTCAAATGAAAAATGTAAGTACGCACAAAAATGTGTGAGAATGTGTGTATGTGCTCAAAGTGCTCGTTATGGCTCGGAAAGACTCGACTCGACTTAGTGACCATCGCAGATCCTCCATAAATGACATAAAACTCCCTGACTACGACGGTACGTAATGCCACAACAAAGTTGGTTATGTTAGATAAGGCTCGTCAGGAAACAGGACAAGTGTTTCCTGATGCAGGTCTTTGTCAGATGAAGACCCGCTGTTGGAGCTTTTGTTCATCTGACCGAGGCCTTCCACTGGTTTACTGGTCTACCCCTTTAAAAATTATTGTGATAGTTATAACCATTTTTTATATATTAAAGTTGGTCACAAGCTTTAGCCTGGGACCAGGGTTAACAGTGTCTCTTGACGAAACTACCTGTGCAAAACGTCAAAAATCACCAAGTCTGAACTACGCTCTGTGAACAGAGCTGCAAGAATTGTGTTTTGGATCTACAACAAAAACATACTCTATCAAAAAATCAATAACAAGGAGGAAACAGATCTAGAGAGAGAAAGATGATTCTCAAACGAGAAGATGCTGCAGAGAGAGGGTGAGGTCGGGACAGCAGCTCCAATATCAGGTGCGATCATGTGATAGCCATTGCTTACTCCAGCGACGGCGCCAGGTTCCACCTGACACAAGCGATCCGGTAGTTAGCAAAGCAGTTTCTGAGAGTGGACAGCGAACCGCAATTCTCCAACCAGCGAGCACATGGAGGTGTAAATCCTACCTATATACATGGGCTAATATAAAATATTAAAGCAAGATATTTTCATTTTAGCTATTAATGAAAACATCAGCAATATAAAATTATATGAAAAGGTAATTTATACTTAGAGTATACATAATATATATTGCGCCCCTTACAGAGGACACAACCGCTATAAAGTCTTTTAAACTGTATTCGGTTTTACGATCCTTATTTTTTTCCCCTCAAAGGAAGTTCCTTGATGCCGGTAAGGATATCTATGGGTTTAACGCTTCCCTATGTATGTAATAATAATCTCTGAGACCTGTACCTAGCCCCAAGTTCCTTAATATAACTTAACCTCCAGGTGCCCATAGTAATAATGCTTTCCATTCCTACAGAAGCTCAGGGAAACTGCGAGATCCCGTTCCTGCTACGAGGCACGTGGTTCAGCTTTGAGAAGGGTCACAACACCATCACGGATATTGACGACACAACCATGTCGGGCTTTGGACAATGTGTTGCTATTAAGGTATACCGCAACGACTACAAGGCTCTCCTCTTCCGCTCCAGCGATTGTTTCTTCTGTGTCCGCTTCCACATTCGCACCGTGAACGTCCTGGAGAAGAGTGCTAGTAAGTAGTAGGGATTTATTTAATGGCTTTTTAAGCTGGGTGATAGATAAGGGGTTGATGGCAGAAAAGTTGGAGGAATGGATGAAATAACAGATTTGTATGGCGGTGAGTGAATGGATGGTGGGGTGGGGGGCGATAAAGAATTTTGTTGATGGGAAGACTGATAAGCTGACTAAGCTTTACTTTTGTAACTATGGAAAGTGGCTACAGATGGGAAAGTACCAGAAGGAAAGAAGGTGGACTCGATCATTAAAGTGGTTTGACATACTCATTGGTAAAACTATGCAATCTTTAACTTTTTTTTTCACTTATTCTGTTTCCTGCTCCTATTTAACTACAGTCCTTAACATCCATGACATATCAACGCGACAACCGGGTCAGTATAGGTTGAGGTAACAGTGGAGAATCATGGAGAGCCACTACTAACCAATCATGTTTATAAGAGAGCCACTACTAACCCATGTTCGAATACAGCTGATGCACAACAACATATCCCCGTCGTACGTGACAACAAGCCGTCGCTGGATGAGGCGTGCGCAGAGCTCGACCGGAATCAGGGTCTCATTACCATGTTTAACGAGAACTACGTTCCCAAAAACTGCCGCTCAGCCATTGAAGGCGTCTGGCAGTTCGCTTACCAGAACAGATTCAGGTGAGTTGGTATAAATTTTCCTCTAGGTTCTGAAACTTGTTTGCATTTGGGTCCGACACATTATTTTTTTTATCGTTATATATGGCCAACTTTCTTACTAAATTCAATTTAGCGAAATAGTGAACATGTTTTCTTGACGCAGTAACTTTGTTAACGAAGGTACAAATCGTTCATCTTTAGTGGTCAGGACTGTTAACACACTGTTGTTCCCAAAGAAAATTGCAGATGCTAAGAGGCCAGCAGTGAGAGGGATTTTTGAGAGCCTTCCTGTTTTCTTTTTTCGTTTGCAGTTTTTTTATTTGTTTATATGATCCACTATAATATCGCTCAAGTGTATCCCCATTTCTTACAGTTTCACTGGAGAGTGCAACAGTCCAGAGGCAAAGATTCAGTCGTGCCAGGAACCTGGCAACCAGTTTCTCATTGCCAACCAGAAGTTCAATATTAGCTTCAAAAAATGTGAAGGGATCAAGGAATCCTTCACTGGAAGTGAGTAGCATTATATGTTCCGTGGAAATATATATACCCATATTGTTAATCCCAGAAGAGACCTTCAGTACGTGCCAGAGCCCTTTTTTTTTCTTCCAACTTTGTTTTCATTTCGTTCATAATACTGAAGGCCACATTCCACTCGGTACAAAATTTCACCGGCGATGTACGGCTACTAGGCCGTACACCAGCATGTGCAGGTGCACTGACAAGTTCAGGTACTCCATGACCAAAGTTGTAGGTCCCATTTCCAGCATCCTGCAATGGCTTGATAACTTCCAAAACCCTCTGCGGCGTAGCTTAGAATGTTGAAAACGCTGCCTCCTAATTCGACGACGGTAGAGAGTGAAATTCAAGCATGTAAACAGCTGCCAATTTTATGTACAAAATGAATATGGAATTTTTATTTCCTTTAAGTCGTTTCTTCTGAATGTTTTCAGTATTTAATAGGTGATGCATCTTAGGGCCAAATGCTACCTATTAGGCTTAGTTCCTGTGCTAGCAAATTTGGGTAACACCCATTTTTTTTTATAAAACCTGGAATTGTTGGAATCTGGGCAATAAATAGAGAATGCCTTTTCTAATGGACTAGAGATTTTCAGCCCTGATGTGTTTTCCAGAGGTCAGGCGTCACTATATTAGGCGATATTATTTGCCAAGATTTTTAAACAATGATATTGATTTCCATTTAATGACTAAAGAATATCACATTTTATCGGCTTAAAAACATTAATACTGATGTATTATGCAAGAAGCTTTAAAAGTTTAGACCATTTATGTGCAAATTTGAAATTTTAATGTGACTGATAAAAAATTGGTATAGTTGGATTCAGAATGACTTTTCTGATAGGTTTCAAACTTAATGATGATCGGCTTTATTAACGTCAGCTTGGATTTCACTTTTAGATTTACATTTTCTCTGATCATAATGTGTACTTTTAATGGTAGTGCACTTTGCCAGAATACATTGTAGATTTTTAATAACACGAATAGCTTTTGTCATCATTATTTTCACGTTATTGACCCAGTAGGCCGTTTATATATACCAAAAGCTCTATTTGTTTAAGAACTGATGATTGTTAGAACTGTCCAGTCTAATACTTTCTTTCAGACTACGCTATTTTATAAATTGTAAAATGTTTGTTATCTCTGACTACTCTAGTTCATAGATCAGTTTCTTCATCGTACATCTGAATGTCTCATACGGATGTCGCATTTTTTAATAAGATTCATAATATTTTGTTTAAAGCCTTATAGCAATCCAACTGCGTAGTATTAATCTCTTCTCTTGTCTTGCAAAGTTTCTATGTATATTGACAATACTGTATTGTGTGTTTACCATCTTTCACCATGAAATGGTTGGCAACAACCATTTCGTGGGTTTTAGTCTATAATAGTCATAAACTTTATTAACTCCTCCTTCCACTCCCTCCTCAACAGTCAAGGAATTCTCCTGCCTGGGTGACTGGTTCATTGGAAAGAACCACTTCTTCGCGGTGGCTAACACCAAGGAGTCACGGAAGGATGAAAAATATCGCTGCTTCGTCAGGAACAGGGACGACGACCTGTACATGGGCCACTCAATTACTCCAGAGTGCTCAGTTCTAAAGACCCCAGAGAACAGCCCCTTCAGGTTTCGGATGACCCCTGGTGAGGATATGAAGACTGTTAATTGTTGTTCAAGTAATATGGCATTGACTGTGACTATTAAGTTGGCAAAGTTCTTATTGAGATACAAACATCCGCAATAAACGGCATTGTGGTTCTACAGTTGCGGGAAAAAAGTTCTTGGACAGTTTCTCCTGGGCAAAAATAATATTGGGCAGCTCAGAACTAGTAAGCAGAGGAGTTACGACTGTTTTCATGAATGAATTAGCGCACTTGTAACGACGCTGGTGACTGGTTGACAAAATTAATTTCCGGTATTTTCTGTGCATCTAAACAGATATAGATTTATGAATGTATACATTAATTGATAACCGCTCGGATATTATATTCGCTGTTATAATAAAAATTATATGACAAGATTACCGAATTTATTGTAAGGGAAGTATTATGATTGATTATAGGTCCGAATTCATCAGTCATGTCTACGCATGTTAAGCATAATTTTAATGGACGAGGTCTACATAACGTCTTACAGAGTACTGTTAATTGAGATAACGAAGGTGTTCTTTTATAATGCCAGGTTGTAGCTGCTTTATATGCTAATATTCAACACATGAATAATAACAGTCACCCGTTTAACGTTGCATATTCTGGAGGCCTGTCACAGACGGGCCCGGGCGTTGACCCGAACTGCTCTCAGTAAACTCTCAGTATATATACAGTGGACCCTCGAATTTAGTAGAGCCATTTCTGCATGCAAAACTATTTTTATTATCTATAAAATGTGTTTTCTGTTAATATTTTTGGGTGTCTGGAATGGTTTAATTGGATTTGCATTATTTCCTATGGGAAATATTAACAAAAAATACATTTTATAGATAAAAATAGTTTTGCATACAGAAATGGCACTACTAAATTTGAGGGTCCACTGTATGTGCCGAAATAGGTAAAACTTGCGATTTGACTTAAATAGCAACGTTCTTGCCGAATAGGGCAAGCAAATATTTGTGTATGCAATAATTTCGCAAAAATCATTCTCAACCTAAGGAAAAAATATATTTCACTGTGTTTGCTTATTAAATTATTGTAAACTCATCTAAAATAGTATATTTAGTTGGATTATGCTAAATAAAATTGCGCTATTAATAATAAGGTTAGAAAAGTTTTCTAAGGTTTTTATCGCAAAAATTATTCATTTTTACATAAACATAAATGAAAAATATATACATGTCTTTAAACGTATAAGAGGAAATTTTAGAATGGACTTAATTTTAAATGAGTTCTTGTTAATTAACCAATTTTACCTATTCGACAAATATTAGAATACTTAACCTAATCCAACTAAGTATATTTTAGATATGTTTACAATAATGAATAAACACAATGAATTTTTTTTTTTGTTAGGTTCAGAATGATTTTTGCGAAATTATTACATACACAAATTTTCGCTTGCCTTATTTCGGCAAGAAGAGCATTACTATTTAAGTAAAAAGCGAAAGTTTTACCTATTCGGAACGACATACCGTCCTGCCATGTGAGTGTGAAACGAAAGCCCGTATTAATTGTTTTACATGATGGTAGGATTGCTGGTGTTTTTCTGTCTTATAAGCATGCAAGATTTCAGGTACGTCTTGCTACTTCTACTTACACTTAAGTCACACTAGGTTTTCCTCTATTTTCTTACTAGTTCTTGTTCTTGTTTATTTTCTCTTGTCTCCAGGGGGAAATGGAACAGAATTCTTCCTCCGTAAGCTGTGTGTTGTGAGAAGCGAATAATATGCCAGAAGCAAGGGGCTAGTAACTCCTCGTCCTGTATACATTAAAGTTATAAAGAGAAACTTTTGTTTTTCCTTTTGGGCCACCCTGCCTCGGTGGGATACGGCCGGTTTGTTGAAAGAAGTATATATTTTTTTTATTAATACATCGGCCGTCTCCCACCAAGGCAGGGTGGCCCAAAAAAGAAAAATTTTCATCATTCATTCCATCACTGTCTTGCCAGAGGCGCACTTACACTACAGTTATAAACCTGCAACATTAACACCTTTTCTTTAGAGTGAGGAGATTTTACTTCCCCCCTCCATTACTCAAGTCCGGCCTGCTGGTTTCCCTGAATCCCTTCATAAATGTTACTTTATTCACACTCCAACAGCACGTCAAGTCTTAAAAACCATTTACCTCCATTCACTCCGAACATGCTCACACATGCTTGCTGGAAGTCCAAGACTCTCTCACACAAAACCTTCTTTACCCCCTCCCTCCTACCTTTCCTAGGCCGACCCCTTCCCCGCCTTCCCTCCACTACAATTTATACACTCGAAGTCATTCTATTTTGTTCCACCTTGACGACCCTTCCTCAGCCCTCAGGATAATAGTTTAGTAATCCCACAACTCCTAATTTCCAAACTACGAATTTTCCACATATTCACACCACACATTGCCCTCAGACATGACATCTCCACTGCCTCCAGCCTTCTTGTTGCAACATTCACCACCCATGCTTCACACCCATATAAGAAGATTGGTATAACTATACTCTCATATATTCACCTCTTTGCATCAATGGACAAAGTTCTTTGTCTCCACAGACCCCTAAGGCACCACTCACCTTTTTCCCCCTCATCAGTTTTATGATTAACCTCATCTTTCATAGACCCATCTGCTGACATGTCCTCTCCTTAACAGAATACATTCACCTCCTCCATATTCTCTCCCTCCAATCTGAGATCCAATTTTTTATTACCTAATTTTTTTATCCTCATCATCTTACTCTATCCTATATTCACTTTTAATTTTCTTCTTTCACATACCCTACCAAACTCATCCGAAAGCAGAGTGTCATCAGCAAAGAGCAATTGTGGCAACGCCCACTTTGTGTTAGATTCTTTATCTTTTAACCCCACACCTCTTGAAAACTCCCGAGCATTCATTTCTCTTACAACCCCATTTATAAATATCTTGAACAGCCACAGTGACATAACACATCCTTGTCTAAGGCCTACTCTTACTAGAAAATAATCTCCCTCTCTCCTACATACTCTAACCTGAGTCTCAATATCCTCGTAAACACACTTCACTGCTTACAATAACCTACCTCCTATACAATACACCTGCAACATCTGCCACATTGCCCTCCTAACCACCTTGTCATACACCTTTTCCAAATCCATAAATGCCACAAAAACCACTTTACCCTTATCTATATACCTATATGTTTCACTGTTAACACTTGGTCTACACACCCCCTACCCTTCCTAAAGCCTCCTTGTTCATTTGCTATCCTAGTCTCCGTTTTACTCTTAATTCTTTCAATAATAACTCTACCATACACTTTACCAGGTATACTCAACGGACATACTCCCCTATAATTTTTGTACTCCTTTGTCCCCTTTGCCTTTATACAAAGGAACTATGCACGCTCTCTGCCAATCCCTAGGTACCTTATCCTCTTCCATACATTTATTAAATAATAGCACCAACCACTCCAAAACTATATCCCCACCTGCGTTTAACATTTCTATCTTTATCCCATCAATCCCAGCTGTCTTACCCCCTTTCATTTCACCTACTGCCTCACGAACTTCCCCCACACTCACAACTGGCTCTTCCTCACTCCTACAAGATGTCATCCCTCCTTGCCCTATACACGAAATCACAGCTTCCTTATTATCATTAACATTTAACAGTTCCCCAGAATATTCCCTCTATCTTCCTGATACCTCTATCTCTCCATCTAATAACTCTCCTCTCTTGTTTTTAACTAAAAATCTCTTCGTAATGAGTAATCCCATATTCTCAGAAATTAAGTTATTTAATATTTAACCACTCTCGCTCTTTTTCCCTCGTCTTTCTCCCACTCTCTTTCTCCATGTAAACATTGAGGAACACTGAGAGGTACAATGGCCCACGTCACTGGCCCAGCTCATCCACTAGTACCTGTCCAACCAATTTCTAAAGCTACCTAAAGTTAATTTGAATGCCATTTAATAACGGTGTTTGACTAGTGTATAGCAGGTTGGCACGATAGACGAGTTTTCGCATTCGGTTTAGGTTGTAGACTACCACCCCAATAACAAGTATTTTAGGATGTCAGTTCACCAGTAATCTAGGTTAACCTTCTCTCCTAGACAAGGTTATTAGGGTTACCGATGCTCTTTAACTGGATAGCTTTTTAAATAGGTTAGGCAAAAGTCTGAGTAAGATATCATGAATTTGAAAAGGACCTTTGTAATGTTCTTGTGTAATAGTAACATCATCATCATCCCTTAAATATGTATTAACGTAAGCGTTCACTGTTCAGCATATACAGTGACAAACGGAAGAGCAGGTGTGTAGCGCTGGCTTCATGTGTGTAGTGCTGGCTTCATGTGTGTAGTGCTGGCTTCATGTGTGTAGCGCTGGCTTCATGTGTGTAGCGCTGGCTTCATGTGTGTAGTGCTGGCTTCATGTGTGTAGTGCTGGCTTCATGTGTGTAGCGCTGGCTTCATGTGTGTAGCGCTGGCTTCATGTGTGTAGTGTTGGCTTCATGTGTGTAGTGCTGGCTTCATGTTTGTAGTGTTGGCTTCATGTGTGTAGTGTTGGCTTCATGTGTGTAGCGCTGGCTTCATGTGTGTAGTGCTGGCTTCATGTGTGTAGTGCTGGCTTCATGTGTGTAGTGCTGGCTTCATGTGTGTAGTGCTGGCTTCATGTGTGTAGTGCTGGCTTCATGTGTGTAGCGCTGGCTTCATGTGTGTAGTGCTGGCTTCATGTGTGTAGCGCTGGCTTCGTGTGTAGCGCTGGCTTCATGTGTGTAGCGCTGGCTTCATGTGTGTAGCGCTGGCTTCATGTGTGTAGCGCTGGCTTCATGTGTGTAGCGCTGGCTTCATGTGTGTAGCGCTGGCTTCATGTGTGTAGCGCTGGCTTCATGTGTGTAGCGCTGGCTTCATGTGTGTAGTGCTGGATTCAGTTATGTACCGCAGACTTCAGGTGTGTACGGCTGGCTTCAGGTGTGTGGTGGGGATTGGAAAGGAGTGACCATCTCTGCTAACATTAATCTGTAGAATGAG